GTCATTTTATTTTGCTTACAACTTTTTTAACCTATTTTTGTATAACTTTCTTTGTGGGAATGATAGTCTAGGACACTTATATTCCATTTATTACTTGGACGTGTACACTTGTTTTTACGCAGTCATCTTTAGATTTCTTTAGGGAGATCCGTGCGCCAACACCAATCATTAAGATTAGTTGTAAATCTTCTAATTCTAGTATGAATATTTGGTCTTTAAAAAAATTCAATAATTGTTTTATATATCCGTAAATTCATTTATTATTCAACTAGTTTGATTCAAGTATTATTGGATCATTTGTAGGGAGTGACTCTCTCAAAATTATTTTCTCTTTTCTCGGGACTTGAACTCAAAATCTCTGATTAATAAGAACAAACTCCTTATTACTTGAATAAATCATTATTGATAAAACAAATTCAATAACTGAATTAGCTGATTTTGCGTGTAAGTTGTATGAAACACCTCTGATTGCAATTTCTTTTCTAAGGATGAGTATTTGTTTGTACTCTAATTGGCTCCATAAAACAGTGTCACCCATATGCAAATGTACATATATATCGTACGTCGTAATTATGTATGAGAAGTAACTACATGAACCGACATTATACATATGTCAACCGTACCTTGTCATAAACATTATTTTGTCAAAAAAAAAAAATTGTTGGCTAAGATTTAAATTTTAAGTGATTGAGAATTTTTTTCATATATAAATTTAAATATTATGTTTGCCGTTTTCCTCCGGCATCATTGACGTTAAAAGACCTTTTTGTTATGAAGGTGTGGAAGGTAACGATGAAGGGAGAAGTCCACTTTGTGTGTGTTGATAATTAGTTAATTACTTGCCAAAAGTTCATAGGTTTTGACAATTACGTTGGTTATTTACTGGTGATGATGTTTATGTCTAATTGTGTCAGAAGTCACTTAATCATTATACTGATAATGTTTATGACAAAATTAAACTCAATAATTGTTAAGAAGGTAAAGCAAAATTAAGCTAATCAAATTACGTGACTAAATAGTAAGAGTGAGATGCATAATAAAGGTAGGGAGCTTAAGTTTGACATTGTATAAATTAAAAATTAATTACTGAAAAGAAAGAAAAAATAGAGATGAGAGGTAGAAAGAAAAATAATCAAACAAAAGAAAATTAAGTGTGGTTTTAATATTGGTTGTCAAATTAATGTGATGTGTTAATAGGAGTTGACTAATTAGAGCGGAGAGAAAATTAGTATGATTAATAAATGTTGTCGCCAATACCAGCAGTGGATCATAACGTCAAACACTACAAAAAGTAATTAAGAGTCGAAACTTGTAGTACGATGAGAGTTTATTGCTCTTAAATCTTAACCTCGATACTCAAATATTGCCAAAGATATGCACCAAAAAATGTTGCTGAATTTCCTATCATACTAGTTGGTTGCAATTGACAGACGGAACAATCTACGTCACTGGGTTGCAACTTTCAACCGCTTGTTTTTATGTAAGATGTGACCGGTAACGGTAATTGATGCTATGATATATTTGACGCAAATGTTTTCCCACGTACTTAAGCACTTTAATTCTCATTTGATGGAAACCTAATTTTTTATTTTTTATTTTTGAAATCGTTAGTATGAATTTTTTAGGTGATTTTCACTCGCTTTAGATATTCTAACAAAAAACTGTCACTAACTCATGATAGCTACTAGCTAGAACCGAAATCTGACCTATGAAAGTATAGGTAAGTTTTAAATATTTTGTTATTTATTTTAAGGGAAAAATAACAATATTCGGAGATTTTTGGTAGGTGAATTTTCTTGAGAATGCTAAGAAGGAGATAGATGGAATTCACAAATAATCATGTTTGATACGGAGTAGGAAAAATTTGTCTATAAAAAAATTTTGATGGGAACATTTTTGTAGTGTAAAGAAAAAGAACAATGCCAAGGTGGTATTTTGATTTCCCCAAAAAAACTCAAACTTGTAGCAATTTTACACCAAAAGTTTCCTGGTAATTTTTCGGCCTACCAAACATTTTTTTTTTAACTTTCTCACATTTTTCATCATTTCTCCAATAATTATATTTTTCTGATAAAAAATTTTCTCCTCTACCAAATATCCCCTAATGTCGGAGAGTGTTTTTTTTCTCCATTCATCGAAAGCCATGCTATTGTTTTGTTTCAAATTTTATTTTATTTTTGTACATTAATTGTTTCATTTTTTTTAAGTGGTGGACTTCATCACTGTATATTTATAAATAAAGTTGTTTGAAAATAAAGTTAGCAAAATCTAAACGAAACAGACACTTGAACTAAGCAACTGTTTGTATGGAGAAATTTTTTTTGAGCCTGGACCATGTAGTCTCTCCCCAAAATAAAAATAAAAAAAGAATTGAAGGGGGAATCAAAAAAGAGGGATAGAAATGGAAGAAATTTTTTCATTTATGAAAAAGAGACTACTAAATAAATGGTGGGCCTGGAATATATTAAAATTTTATTTGGTACAACAGTAGCACCAAAGATTTATTTCCACCGCACATCGTTTCTTTTCCCCTGTTTTGCCGACCCCTTTTAAGTTTTCACAAAGAATAATATAAGTGATGCAATTGTTAGTGTAACCATATGTGATCATGTAAACGAATAAATTTTTGGTACTACTGTTGTACCAAGATTCAGTGCATCCCAATAATGAGAGTATTACACATCATAGGAGAGAGAGAAAATTTGGCAGAGAAAAGAAAACTTTAACTGACATGTAATATTTTTATTGGTGGAATGTACTGAATCTTTGATGCAACAGTAGCACCAAAGATTTATTCGTGCGGTGGAATCAGCCTTCGTTCGCAGAAGCATGTGCCTCGGTGTTGGTGTCCTCGACGAAATTCTCTATCTCTCTCTCCCTCTCTGAGATACATGTTTTCCATAAGGAACTTTTTCTTTTGGGGCCTACAGCCCAATTTAATGGGCTGAGGCCTGAAATTACAAGATAGGAAATCTCGTTAGCAATTTTTTTTTTGAATTTTTGGTAATAGCACGAATACACGAGAACAAACATTATATACATCTAAAAACCCCAAGAGAGAATAAGGCGCGTGCTCCTCACGCGAACGTATTTTCCCCTTTGCCTCTCTGCTAGGGCTCCGTCTGTTCCATGGGAGCAACGAGACCAGCTTCAACAGAGGAGGAAGATAACCTCAAGCGAAGCATAAAGAAGCCTAAAGGGCTGGTAATACAAGATGCAGTGATGGATGATCACATGCAACCAGGTGACAGAGGCATCCATGAAGATCCGACTTTGGAAGAAGAAGCTCAGGCTACTCCTGGAGAAGAGGTAGCTCACACTCAATCTAATGGGGGGGATACCCGTACTATTCCAGAGGAAGAAAAAAGGACCCCCATCTCTTACAAGGACTCTCTGCTGAATCTGAACCTAAATGGAGGAGGGGTTTATGTGGAAAGCGATGAGGAGGACTGGGTGAGTCTTCAGAAAAAAGAGGATGCTTTTGAAGAAGCCCTTGAAGGTCGAAGCGAAACAGTAGTAGAAGACCCCCTGTGCCCCAGGTACCAAATTTCTAGTGAGGAACACAAAGAGGACTGCAAGGAATGGAGGAATGCTCTCACAATCAAGGTGCTGGGTAAGAGAGTAGGCACGAGGTTCTTAGTCAATCGTCTCCTGAAGATGTGGTCGCTCAAAGGAGTGTACAAATTTCTGGACCTAGAAAATGATTTCTACTGTGTTCGGCTATGGGATGAACAAGACTATCGCCATGTGCTTGAAGAAGGTCCTTGGATAGTGTCAGATCACTATGTCACCGTTCAAAAATGGCGCCCCATGTTCGACCCATATGATGACAGAGCCAGGAAGCTTGCAGTGTGGATCAGAATCCCAGGTTTGCCTCTAGAATACTATAAAACTAAGCACCTGATAAATATAGCAAATCTGTTTGGTAGGACTATAAAAATTGACAGGAACTCCATCAGACTAGGGGATTGGGTCAGTAAGAATTTACTGAAAGAGCGAAATTTGCTCGGGTATGAGTGGAAGAGGACCTGAAAAAAGGCTTCTTGGCCAAATTCACGATTGCTGACAGAATTTTCCCCGTAGCCTATGAAGGACTACATATGATATGCTTCAAATATGGTGAGTATGGTCACAGGCACGACAACTGCTTGAAAAACCAAGATTCCTCTGCCCCTAAGGATGGAAAAACCACCCCTTCCCCCACCCCCACTGATCACAAGACAACCACGTCTGAAAAGAGGATGAAAGACGTTGAAGACAATGATCATGGGAGCTGGATGATTGTTTAACGGAACCCCAGAGTCAGAAAAACAAATAACTCAACCCCTGCTTCCTCTTCAGGAGGAAATGAGAAGAACACTATGGCTCCAGGAAAAAATAATGGATCCAGATTTGCTGTGATTAGTGTTGATGAAATAAAGCAAGACCAAAGTGCAGACCATGACACGGAGACCAAGGAAAAAAGAGGAAATTTTACCCAGCTAACCTTTCTTACTAGAGGGAAGAAAGCAGTAGAAACAACCAGAATTAGGACCACGGATCGTCCCAACAAGCAAGGCAAAGGGATAAACCTTAACCTCAGCCTACCCAAGAAATCAAGCCCAAACCCAGCCAAACAAAAAGTGGCTATACCTACTGTCACTTCTCCACCAGCCCCTGCAAAGATTTGTGCAAACAACCTAAAGTTGTACCACCCCAGTTCTCCTCTCAAGAAGAATGATTTGGCTCCAACTATTTGGTTAGCCATCCCTCATCCCCCAAACCAGCCCAGAACAAACCCCCTGATGCTCTAGATAACATGAAAATTTATGAGAGATCCCTTGGAGATAGAATTTCGATGGATGTTATCACCAACCTTGGTGGAGTTCAAGTCTTCTCGAACATGCTCTAAGTGCTTTGTCACTTCTGTTTTCCTGACCCTTTTGTTGTTGTTGTTATGATAGTGTGCACTTGGAATTGTAGAGGGGTGGGGAAGAAAGGACTTCCCCCTTATAAAAGATATGGTTTCTGCCTCAGACATTCAAGTCCTGGCGCTCCTCAAAACTCGAATGAGTGGAAAAAAAGCTGAAAAGATTTACAAGAAAATGGCCTTTGATAGCCAGTTCCACCAAGATCCAATTGGCTTCTATGGAGGGATTTGCATCCTATGGAACCAAGCAGCGGTGGAGGTTAAAATTATTGAGGTTCATCACCAATTCATCCATACAAAGCTATTTTGGAAAGACCAAAATAAAGAGGAGTTGTTTACGGTGGTTTATGGCAGCCCTAGAAAAATGGAAAGGAAAGGCATGTGGGATAGTCTCATCAGATTGAAAAACAACATAAATGGTCCTTGGGCCCTGATGGGAGACTTTAATGCCTACTTGAGGCCTTCAGAGAAAAAAGGTGGAGGAGAACCAAATTGGAAAGCTACCCAAGAGTTCCAAGACTGCCTTGACACTTGTGGGTTAGCTGACCTAGCTTTCAAAGGCCCCTCCTTTACCTGGAGAAGGGGAAACCTTCAGGAACGTCTAGATAGGGCGGTGGCTAATGAGGATTGGCTGATTCAATTCCAAGATAGAATGGTCTCTCACCTCAATTTCAATGGGTCTGATCACAGACCTATTGTTCTTGGCCAGCAGGTGTTTCCTAGAGAAAATAAGGGCCAGAAACCGTTCAAGTTCCTTGCTTCCTGGCTTACCTATGAAGAGTTTGATAGCATAGTCAAGTTTAGCTGGGAAAAAGATGTGGATTGGATTTCTGCCTAGGATAATTTCCAAATAAAAGATTTTGAATGACAACACTCCTCTTTCACCAGCCTTATTAAAAGAAAAAAAAAGATTCAAGATAGACTCAGAGGCATTGATGCTATCTTGGATAGGAACCCTGACAACGACCTGGAGAGGCTTTAAAAACATTTGTGGCAGCAACTCAACTCAATCTACATCCAAGAAGAATTAACTTGGTTCCAAAGGTCTAAAAGTAACTGGCTGGTTTTCAGAGATAAAATTCTAAATTCTTCCATGCAGCCACTGTTATTAGAAGAAGAAACATAATTGACTGCCTTATGGACTCCCAAGGGAACTGGGTAGAAGACTATACTTCCCTACATGCTCTTGCTCTTTCTTACTTTCAGGATCTGTATTACGAAGACTGCCCAGCCAAAATTAATTTCACTATCCAGGGAGCTTTTCCTGATTTGGGAAACCGGAACTTAGAGCTCTTGAAACGAAGACCATTGGAGGCAGATATTAGAACAACTATCTTTAGCATGAGCCCATACAAGGCTCCTGAAATTGATGGCCTACATGTCATTTTCTTTCAATCCCAGTGGGAAGATATTAAGGAATCCATTGTAGCTCTCGTTTCTGATATCTTTCAAGACCCTTCAAAGGTGAGTTGTATAAACCAAACCCTTTTATGCCTCATCCCGAAAGTTGATAATCCAGAAAGGATATCTTAGTTTAGGCCCATTAGCCTCTGCAATGTGATCTATAAGTTGGTGACTAAGATTATCTCCAATAGGCTTAAAGGCCATATGGATGCTCTAGTCATGCCAAATCAATGCAGCTTTGTAAAAGGTAGATTGGGAGCTTACAACATTATTATAGCTCAGGAGATGACCCACTCTATGCGCACTAAGAAAGGAAAACAAGGTTGGATGTTGATCAAGGTAGACCTTGAGAAAGCTTATGACCGAATAGGCTGAGACTTCCTTGAAGATACGCTTAAAGAGATCCACTTACCTAGAGAGCTTATCAATCTGATCATGTGTTGTGTCTCAACAAGCTCCATGAATATCCTTTGGAATGGGACAAAAACTGAGGAATTTAAGCCTTCTAGAGGTCTAAGGCAAGGTGATCCCCTCTCTCCGTATCTATTTGTCCTTTGCATGGAGAGGCTGGCTCACCTCATCTCTGCAGCTGCCTCTCAAAAAGTGTGGAAGCCAATCACCTTAAGGAAGAATGGTCCCCCTATATCCCACCTGTTCTTTGCAGATGATCTCCTTTTGTGTTGCGAAGCCTCCATGGATTAAGCCAGCCTAGTCAATCATGTTCTGCAGCACTTTTGTGAAGCCTCTGGGCAGAAAGTGAACAGCTCTAAAACTAGAGTCTTTTTTCGAAAATTGTCAATCACAACAGAGTGTTTGAGATTAGCCAACAACTTGGTTTTGAATCTACTGTTGATTTGGGGAAGTATCTTGGAATTCCCATCCACCATTGGAGAGTAGGCAAGAAAACTTTCAGTTTCATCTTGGATAAAACTAATAGAAGGCTGAATGCTTGGAACCAAACCACCCTCTCTATGGCGAGTAGAGTGACTCTTGCTAAGTCAGTGATGACTGCACTTCCCTCTTATTCTATGTAGACATCCCTCCTGCCTTTGGGGACTTGTGATGAGCTAGAAAAAAAGGTTAGGGGTTTTATTTGGGGATCCTCATCTACATCGAAGAAAGTTCATGCCCTCCCTTGGAATGTTATCTGCAAACCAAAAAAAGAAGGGGGCCTGGGATTTCGTGACATGAGGAAGACTAATCTAGCATACTTGATGAAGATTGGTCACGGCCTAATCACCAAACCGGAATCCTTATGGGCCAGAGTCCTTAAACACAAATACAAAGTGGAGGAAAAAGTCATTCTAAACCTGAAACCGATGCATAATTCTTCCAATCTTTGGAAAGGTCTTCTTAGAGTCTGGCCCCGTGTGATCAACAATTCCAGGATTAACTTGGGAGATGGTAAAAGCACTCTATTCTGGCAGGGCCATTGGGTTCCAGATTTCATGCCTTTGCCAACTTTTTCCAGCCAAGCAAATCCCCCTGAGTGTTTGCAATGAAAAGTGGCAGATGTTACAAACCCGAATGGGAACTGGGACTGGCACATGTTTGAACACCTCTTGCTTAGGGAGGCTGCCCATGCTATAGCAGGAATCTCCCCCCCTTTCATTCCAATGGGCCTGACAAAACCATGTGGGCTGTCTCTTGTGATGGTATTTTCTCTGTTAAGTCTGCCTATTATGAGATCTCCAAATCCATTTCGTCCTCCCCTAACCTCCTTTGGAACAAAGTGTGGAATTGGAATGGTCCCCAAAGAATTAAAACGTTCTTATGGATGCTGTTAGGGGAAAATTTGCTAACAAATCTTTGCAGATATAGAAAACACATGACTGAAGTGGATACTTGTCCTAGATGCACCTTTCTTCCTGAAGACTGTATACACATGATTAGGGACTGCCCATGGTCCAAAAAAATATGGGAAAAGCTGGTTCCTCACCAAAAATGGGCTGGGTTCTTTTCTGCTAACCTCCCCAATTGGCTACACCAGAATCTGTCTCATTCTTCTGCCAACTCAACATATCAAGACTGGCCATTGTTGTTTGGTACTACTTGTTGGCTGCTTTTGGAAAACAGAAACAACCTAGTGTTCTCCAATAAAAGCCAACCTATGGATGTTGTGATAAGGAATGCGCATGGGATATGTTTCAATTTCCTAGATGCCCAAACCAAACTCTGTCAAGCTGGACTTAAGAAAAATCCAAGCGAGGAAATTCATGTCAGTTGGAACTTTCCTTTATCAGGATGGACCAAACTGAACGTTGATGGCTCTAGCACTTGTGGTGGCAAAATTACAGGTTGTGGAGGAGTAGTAAGAGATGATTCTGGCAATTGGGAGCTAGGTTTTTCAAAGAATTTGGGTCAGGGAAACTCGGTCAAGGCAGAACTTTGGGGTATTTTAACTGGATTGGAATTGTCCTGGGAGGTAGGTAAAAAGAGAATTCACCTAGAAAGCGACTCCCTGGTGGCACTGGAGCTAATCCAGAAAGGGTATCAAAGGACCCATCCTTTGTCTAATTTGATATCTAGAATACAAGGGATGCTTTCCAAGAACTGTGAAATAAAGATCACTCACTCTTACAGGGAAGAAAACGCTGTAGCCGACTGGCTGGCCTCCCAAGCATACAAACATGGCTAGGGAATTGTTCTCTTCAATGAAATCCCCAGGGATTGCACTATTAGATTTCAATGTGATTATAGGGGCACACCGCACATGTTGGCCCAGAGTAGTCGGTGTTAGCTAGTTTCTTTTGTTTGTTGTTTTACTTTCCTTTGTTATATAAAAAAAAACATTATGTACATCTGATTACATGTTTGGATGTACTACTACTAACCATTTCTTTTTGCCATTACTCAAAATAATATTTTTCTAAGTTAAATTCAGAGGCCGTGGCTGAGAAATCGAAGTGCGAGTCTTATAAGGTGAGAGATTATTATAACTTAATGATAAAATGACTTGGGAAGGTTATATTCATATTATTTTAGTTTTACATTTTTTTTTTATCTATTGGATTAAAAAATAAAAATAACTAATTATCAATAATTTTAAAATAATTTAACGATAATCAATCAGATAATTAAAATAATAAAATTAAAATAATAATAAATATAACATTTTCTGAATTATATAATCTTAAAGTAATATATGAATAATTGTATAGGAGAAGCATTATTTAAGTTAAAAAAAAAAAAATAGTTAGATAAAACTCTTTTTATCCGTTTGTGTACCGCTTAGTGACCTTTTCAGTTCTTCACATTCAACGCTCCAAAGAAGGCTTGAATCAGTGAGTAGAGAGACAAAGCAGTGTGTTTGACAATGGCGTTTTCATTCTCAACGCAATTGGTTCAATGTCAGAATCCACTTCCTCGTTTTTGTCATCTACAGGTTACTGCTTCCAACTTTTCTCTTTCATGTCTTTTGTCTCCCTCTCTTCAAACTTACCCTATTAATCAATACTCATTTTCTAACTTTTAACAACTGAGAAGATAGATTGTGTAGAAGTGAAATCTTGTTTTAAAGAAAAAATCATACTTCAACTTGAGTGATTACAAAAAATCGAAAGGTATATTAGGTACACTGTTTAAAATCAAATTTGGCTTTGCTTTTTGGAAGCACCCAAATCGCTTCCATTAGTTACAATTTTTATTTATTTATTTATTTAGGCTATCGTGATTCGTGATAAGTAATTAAGTATATATCTTTACCCATGTGGGGTTTTGGGTTGCAAATGTGCTAAATGTTTTGTGTACATCAATAATGGGAAAATTTTGCTACCTTTTTCAGGGTAATTTTAGCCAAGATGTGTCTAAGGTTCAAAGGTCACATATGGTCTGTAACGGTAACAGATCGCAGCTTGGTTCCAGTAAAGCATTGGCTTCAAGATCATATTATGCCATGAGGTTTTCTGTCAGGCAACAATCTGAAGCAAGATCAATTGGATATAGAAGAATGACTTGTGTCAATGCTGCAGACAATGTGAGTTTGTCATATAAAATTTGTGGAGAAGTTGGAGGATAACACCTTCAGGATCTACTTTAATTTTCTGTCTACTTGGGCGTTAGGAGAAGGGTGAACACCTCATATTGAATTTAATCAATTTATTCGTAGAAAATAAATTATTCCTGAAATTTAGACCACTTGTTGATTGAAGACATTTAGTATTTGGATTGTGATTGTTACATCTCCATGTTTAGAATCATTTTCATTTGCTTTAACTAGATAATTCTTGGTAATGCTCAACGGTCAAATCTGCTGTGGTTATGTTGGTTTATTATCTTACATGGTTCTCTTATACCTTTAGGTTCTAGAGCTGCAAGCCAAAGTGACAACCAAGTGTTTCTTTGATGTAGAAGTTGGGGGTGAACCTGTGGGCAGGATTGTTTTGGGCCTATTTGGTGAGGTTGTTCCTAGAACAGTTGAAAATTTCCGTGTTTTGTGCACAGGCAAGCAATCAAGTTTTTCTAGAGCATTTTTCTTGTTGTAGTTGGATTACTACTCTGTAATGCATTGTGTAACACAGCATTTTATAGATCAATTTGAATAATCTTTGTGCAGGAGAGAAAGGATATGGTTACAAAGGAAGCTCCTTCCACCGTATAATCAAAGAGTTCATGATTCAAGGAGGGGACTTTACTGAAGGAGATGTGAGCTCTGTTATATATGTTAATATGCCTGCATATATATGCTAATGTGTGCATTTACTTTCGGACTGCCATGTGTAGGCGTCGGAGGGTGATAATGTTTTTTTCTTACTTAAAATGTGCTTTTATTGGCTGCAGGGAACTGGTGGAACTAGTATCTATGGTTCTAGTTTTAACGATGAGAGTTTTGCCTGTATGTCTCTATTGCTGGTTGGATAGTAATATTTAGTTCTAAATTTTTAATAGTGATTGGTATTCAAAGTTCAGCTTCAACAATTGTTCCAATATTATTATTTTTTTGGTGGTTAGTTCCAATATTAAATAGTCTAGTTAATCTTCTGACAATTCTAGTTTCAACACTTTTCTTGCAGTGAAGCATATTGGTCCTGGAGTTTTGAGCATGGCAAATGCGGGTCCTAATACCAATGGTAGTCAATTCTTTATTTGTACTGTGAAGGTGAGGGGCTTGTACTGTCCTCCTGATATCTACGAGTTACTAATATATAAACTTCTCAATGAAAAAGTCAAAATTCCAAATAAGCCTAAAATCAATATCCACTGACTGGTTGTTTACATAACTGGAAAAGCCTCACTATGGAAGGTCATATCTATGAAGTCTGTTTCCAGATCTAAGAATTGTTAGTGACAGATGCATATTATTCTATCTACCTGTTCAAGCTCAATATTTTTGGCTAATAGACTGGACTCTGGAGCATACGCTGTCAATGTTATTTCTCATATAAGTGCCCAGTTGTTTATTTAAAATATCCGAATCTTCTACATTTCAACTGATATATACTATGTAAATGTCGTGATTTTATGGTGTAGACTCCATGGCTAGACAATCGCCATGTTGTGTTTGGACACGTCATTGATGGACTGGATGTCGTGAGGACACTTGAATCCCAGGAGACAAGCAGAGTAGATATCCCTCGGAAGCCTTGCAGAATTGTTGATTGCGGAGAACTGCCTACAGATGATTGATCCGTATGAGGAAGTACATCATATTTTTCTGATTTTAAGGACAATTTTCAATCTTTTGATTATCTCCTATTTAATCATGATGATTTGTTGGAATTATCATTGGTCGCTGCTGAATTGTTTGTCATTCAGAGATACAACACTCATATTTTGTATTGCTAGAATCATGCTAAATCCTTATAACGATAGTATTGTCTTTTCCTCTTCTTAATTTCTTCTTTTGTAATTTGCTATTACAAGCTATCCATTTTCATGATTTATGATTTACATGTTTAAGCATCACCATTTTGTGGAGATTGCGTTCGGTAATCTAAACTGATAAGTAACTCTGCTGAGCTAGTGACTTGTGATTGCTTGGTAAGTTGAATATTTTTTTTGATCGAAGCTAAACCTATGCAACGACCATATACTCAACTGCTGGGGATTGGATCATTTGCTTTTGGTCTCCCTCAACCTCCCATATTTCAGGTAATGCTTCTTTGATATTATGGATGCTGTTCAATGCATGGTCAGCACCAGGCACCAAATCTGAGCGTCCCACCTGCCACCAGTATGTTAGCTTGCGTTAGATATGGATTTAAATTATGGACACACTCAATTTCTTTAATTTCCCATAAAATGTAAGAATAGCAAAGTTATAGCTTACGATAACTGTGTTAAGTCCGGCAGCTTTTCCACTTGCAATATTTCTAACACTGTCATCTAAAAACAGCTGTGGAGGATGAAAGAGGGGAAATAAACAAACTGTGATATACTGATTCCAAGACTATGGCCCGAAATATATAAATAAACACATGAAGGCGTAATTTTTATGTGTCACTTTTTAGTTCAAGTAATGCATTTTACCGTTTTCCTTGGATTCACATTAGCAATCTGAATAGCAGTTTCAATGGCTTCCACAGAGGGTTTGCAGAGAATATGTGTCTTGGAGTTGAAACATCCACTTTTTATTTGATCACAGGTATTGTTAAACGAATTACTCCACGTGAGAACATGTTTATCAGTAGGTACATCCGTGCAATTAGGAGGATTAAGCGTTTCAAAGCATATGATGCCCTCAAAGCAATCTTTCAAGCCCAATCTGTTGAGAACTTCATCCGCATGTGCTTGATCTGCATTGGTGAATATCTGCGATGACCATTTTCAAGTCTTAGAAATTATATGGAATGCTCCCCACTGAAAAAACTAATATCAAAGATTGACATACTATTTTACGCTGAGGCATGGAAAGCAGAAGGTTCCTTAACACTGGATCAGACTTCAGTTTCTCGTATGGTAATCTTCCATGCACGTAAGCATGAAATTCATCATTGTCAAACTCATAACCAAGGGCCTGAGAGGAAAGAAAGACATATTTTATCATTGATAATGAATTAGTATTTCACAAGGAAAGAGTGATGAAAGAGAAAACCGAGAATAATGCAAATTCTTTTATACCTTTAGTCCTGCCATAGTTGTCCCACATTCCCTGTACAAATCCAGACACATCTTTGGTACTTCACTTTCTTCAATATGCAAGTGTTCCAACATATACTCTGTAAACAATATTGGTTAACTAGAGTGCTTCTTTTGCATATTATCTGAACACTAGAGGAATTGTACTTATATTCACCCTCATTGGTTAATGTTTCTACCTTCTATGTTCTTTCGACATGCTAGATTGAGGCCTGAGCTCAATGAGTAGAGAGTATCGTCCATATCTGTGGAAATCATTGGAGTCATAATTAAATAACACTCCCCTTTTCCTCTTTAGAATCATTCAAATGTTTGAAAGCCTTTGCTAAGGGATAGTAAATTCAATTCAGTGCGCAATTTTGTAGCAGGGGGGCAAGGAAGTTAAACATGTAAGAGTGCATTAATTGAGTAACACCAAGCATACCGAAAAGCAAGCAATCATACTTGAATCCAGTAATCCTGCGAGAAGTATCCATCTTAAAGAATTTCTAATCTGCAACAACGTTCAGAGTTCAGTGAATTTGTTAATTTAAATGTCTACGGAAGCCCTGCTCAATAAACCATATATGTTATATTTGCTTTTGCAATCTCTTGGGAATTTCTTTAAATCTTAAAGTGCAAGTATCGTAACTTGCAGTAGCTTAATCAATAGGCGCCATATTTACCGTATGATCATAAATAATGCATGAATACCAAAAGTTGAATATATTTATATATAGGCAGAAACACCAGAAGAAAGGCATACCTTGTGAACCGATGAATAAGATCAACGCAGCATATATGTATAAGACCAAATCTTCCAATTTATAGCTCAAAAATATCGAATATGCCTAATATTAAAACGACAATGTAACTAGGTTATTTAGTTATTTAATGGGGTGTGATAAAATCAATGCATGAGTGATGCGCCCCAATCATAAATGTAAACCACATAAAGGTCACTAAAAAAATAAGGAAAGAGTGTATATCATTTTAAAAGATGTAAAGTTGTGTCATTTTAAGTGAGAGAAAGAAATAGATAAAGGGAAAGAGAGTGGACCAAAAAAACTAAAGCTGTGGGTCCCACCTCTTTATGAGAGTGAAATGATATAAGTTGTGTCATTTAAAAAGAAATATTTTTCTCAAAAAAATAATAATATTAAGAATATGAGAGGGGACAGGACATTAATGAACAGAAAAAGAAAGTACAATGATTGGAAATGAAAGGAAACAAATACTTGCGGTTGGCTATTTGAGTGTAGCTCCTCTCCTTCGTGAACAGGTAGTGGATAATATAATATAATTTTTATATATCTTTATTTAACAATTTTAATGTAAAAATTCGTAAAATGAGAATAAACTAAGAGTTTTATAATAATTATGTTGTAGGAAAAATAATTGTGTTATGTTATAGAGATTCGTTTTACGTGTCATAATTTTTTTTTTTTTTTTTATTTTCAAAACATGCGAGTTCCACAAAATATTATATGTGTAGGAAATTTTCTACGGTCATGTTAAATGATGAATACAAAACTCATAAACTAATTACTATTCTAATTTTAATTATTGATATATGAATAAATGACTAAGTTTTTTTATATAACATGATCATCAATCTTTAATTTTTTTCCGGTAATAGTCATTTTCTGTGCCATAATTGCTGTGTTTCGTGCATTCATCAAGTCCACTAATTAGGAGGTGGGATTTACTTTAATAACTTTATGGTCCAATGAATGTTGGCCATGTGTGTGTTAACTCTACCCCAAACACCACTTGATGAAGAAAAGCAGATATTTGACAGCAACAAATGTTCTTCATATAAATTTGTCAAATGAATAGGATTAGTTTTTGTTGGTTTGGAATCTTAACGGGGGCATAATCTAGAGATGGGGCGGTTAGGATGAGGTTTATTCTTTTTATATACCGGAATATTATGAGCATCATCGCTATTATTATGATTAAAATAAGCATAGGAACATCACAATGCTTGTTACTTGATGTCCTTTGCACCCAAATCAGATACCAAAAGGCTGGTCTTGCTGGGAAAGGACTATGTCCAAATTCGCTTCCTAATTATCCACTGAGGGTGCTGGTTTATACTTCACACACCAACGTGAAATCGTGGAATCATCCTCTCTGCAATTAACGTCAAAATCCACATATACGTTACTATATTCCTTCCCACTTGGAGGAATTAAATTAGATGTTTAATCGTTGCCTAAAATTCGTATCATTGTACTTTATGTATCAAGATTTGGCCAGTGACGGAGCCACTACTTTATTCCTACGAGCACCGATACTTTTTTAGTTACATTCCTTGGAATTATATTATAGTAAGCAATTCTATTTTGAGAAAAAATATTTTTAAAAAGATTAAGATGCATTCTAAATTAAATAAAGAGTGAAGGCACCTTCACTTTCTCATCTTGGAGACAAACTCATTTCATAAGAGTATTTATCTTTCTATTTTTAGATATTTTGTTTTGTTCACATTAAGAGTGTGTATGACAATTTTTTTGGAATCATTTTTTTTTAATTTCTGTTCTCGGGAACAGAAATAGATAAAAAACTCGTTTGGTAAAATTAATTTATTCTTTTGTTTCCGGGATGAACCAATTTAATTTTTGTGCTCGGTAATACAAAAAAGAATCAATTTTTTTTTGTTTATTATATTTGTTCCCGGGCATAAAATGAGAAACATTCTTCTCTCTCAATCACTTTCCAACTCTACCATCATCACCACCACCACCACAACCATCATCGCAGCCACTGCAGCCACCACTACCATCATCGTCACCACCACCACAACCATCATCGCAGCCACTGCAGCCACCACTACCACTACCGTCACCAACCACCACTACCATCGCTGCAGCCACTATCGTCATCACCATTATCATGCCACCACCATCACCACGCCACCACTGTCACCGCCATCAACCACCACCACCATCGTCGCAGCCAATGTTATCACCGCCACTACCACCACCACCATGTCATCACCACTGCCACAATCACATGTAGGAACAAAGAGAGGTGTAAAAAAAGTTTACATGAAAACATTAGAGAAATGAATTTAAATACCCATTAACAATTAGTGTGTGTTTTTTTGGCGGTACAATTTGTGCGGTTAATTTTGTTTTACCAGTCCTTTCTCAACAAGTATTCATTTATAATTCTTTCGAATTTGTTTACTTTCAAAAGAGTAAAGTCGCTAGCAACATACTTCACAATTTTTTAATGGCAAGATGATTGATTCTATATAATTATGTAAGCTTTTCTAATTCAATATCTGATTTGAGCGTACATAATATTTGTTATGAACTAAACTCTTGGCGTTGACGTTATGCTAGTTCCTTTAGCTGCAATCACCATCATCATCGTCGCTGGCTCTGAGAAAGGGTTTCCTGTGTCTAATTTCTTCGTCCATCAATCTTTTGAACTTGTGCAATGTTGCCTGAGAAAATTAACATGGACCAGATACTAATGAAATGATGAACAATATTTAAACTATGATCAATCTAGAATTGTGTTACCAAGTCTATAGTCAGTGAATTGGATAAAACATCTCGTGGTAACACAACAACAAAAACGGCATTTCACCACGATAATTTAGTAATGACTAAATGGCGTTGCAATTAGCTAAGGCGTTGCAATTAGCTAAGGTGTTGTAGCTATAATCCATCTCTACGTTCAAGCTTCTCTTCTGACCATAACCATGTTCGGTATATACAAGACCCGCCAGGCCACCACAACTTCCGTTTTAAAACTCGAAGAGAAATTTTTATATGTTTGCTTACATTTAATGATTATTTGGCCTCTGACCTAGCTTACTGGCCTTTGACCCTCTTTTTACTATTTTTAATTCTTATGAATTATAAATATTTGATTGTTTGTAATTATTATTTATTCTATTATCTGTTTTTTTTTTAAATTTAGATTTTTTAAAATTGATTTCCTTTTAATTTTCAGAATTGATTTATAAACATTTGATAATATTTTTATATTTTTTAATTTCGTAAGTTAATAACATGATTTTATTTATAGATCCTAACGTAAAGAGTGTGATGTTTAATCCCCAAATGCTGAGATGCTAAATCCCTAGAAGTTTCTACTCACTACAACCGATTTGAGAATCAACTTCTCACATCATTTGGTACTTAAATCCGATTTCGTCACTCGTTCCATCTATTTGCTAATTTCTTGAGTTACATGGTAAATTGCTATTTAGCAATTGAAGTTTTCTTCGTTGGACTCAAATTTGAGATTTCGGATCTGATTGTTGTCCAACAACTTTGACCTTTAAAAGTACTAAAGTGCTGCAACTCTGTTTTCATTCTTTGGTTCTGTATATTAGAGTAATAAAAATATTAGAGAAATTATGTCAAAGGATATTCAGTTCGCGAGGCGCATTAGGGGCGAGCGTACTTAATCTTGAGTTTGCGTGTATATAATGACTTGTTTTGTTAGTCCTCAAACGTTGATGTGATCTTATTTACATGGTTTTGTTGGATTGAACTGGTGGAAGCGCTTTATTAAAGAAATCATTACTCTTGTTCTTCAATCATTGCCCGACATGATTTTGGGCTTAATTGACAACTTATCTACGTTAACTAAGAAAAGGGAACCCTTTGTTTATTTATTTATTTATTTTTTGATTTGTGGCATTTTGTTTTACTAGTTAGTGTAGGAGATTTCTCTTTCAGGGGGAAGGTACCATAACTGTTTGAGGGAGATCCGCAACCGTGCTTCTGATGTTGAGGATAAGAAAAAGGGTATTAAGATCAACAAGGAGGATTGGGGCAAATTGCATTTACACATTGCTTTATACAACAACTTTCCTACTGCAGCTGGACTGACATCTTTTGCAGCAGGCTTTGCCTGTCTTGGTAATTTACTGTTGTCAATCTTAATTTTTTGATTGAAAGTTTTCTTTCATTCAATAATTGAGAAGTTGACAACAGCATGGTTTGCAGTAGTGGCTGCCGCCTGGTAGCCAGGAGTTGTACAATCCTCTTTCAGTTTTCGGACTCAAATAAACCTCTAACATATTCAGTCATATCCAAATAGTCAATTTCCCTGACCTGGAGCATGATATGGATTGTAAAGGTTGATTCATCGAATTTGTTTGTGAATGGCTGAACTGGATTAGAAGGTTTAAGAGCAAAACCAAACAGGGCAGTGAATTGAGCGATGGTTCAACTAATGTTCCACTATGAATCTGAAGAGCCTATATCTTTTTTGTATTTCAAGTTCTGCCTCTTTT